CAAGCGAGTCTCCTGCCTCCACCTCCCAAGTAGCTGGGACCACAGGCGCCTGCCACAACGCCTGGCTATTTTTTGGTTGCAGCCATCGTTGTTTGGCGGGCCTGGACTGGATTCGAACCCGCCACCTTAGGTGTATGTGGCTGACGCCTTAGCCACTTTTGAAATGTGTATGCTCCTAGAACAGTGGTTGGCACATGGTAAAATGTAACACTATAAAATGCAAATCTAGGGTTCTCAATGGATGAGGGTAATTTTGCTCTCCAGCGACCATTTGGCAATGTCTGGAGACATCTTTGGTTGTCATACTGTTGAAGGGTCTGCTACCGGCATTTAGTGGGTAGAGGGCAAGCTGCTGGTCAGCATCCTATAAGGCACAGAACAGCCCTGCACAGCAAATATTTATCCAGCCCAAATGTCAGTGGTGCCAAGGTTGAGGAATCAATAGGTGTAAGCCATCATCATTATTATCATTTTGGTTTTTTTTTTTTTTTTTTTTTGAGACAGAGTCTCAAGCTGTTGTCTTGGGTAAAGTGCATCACAGTTCACAGCAACCTCCAATTCCTGGGCTTAAGCAATTCTCTTGCCTCAGCCTCCCAAGTAGCTGGGACTACAGGCACCTGCCAAAATGCCCAGCTATTTTTTGGTTATAGTTGTCATTGTTGTTTGGCAGGCCTGTGCTGGATTCGAACAGCCAGCTCTGGTGTATGTGGCTGGCGCCTTAGCCGCTTGAGCTACAGGCGCCCAGCCTATTTTGGTTATTCTTAAGAGGTAATCTTGGATAGTTGTTGAAGGTGTGGGTTGCATTCAAGGTTGAATGCAACCTTGAACCATTTAACCAGTCTGAACCTCAGTCTTCTCATCTGTGAAATGGGTATGATATGCATACAGCTATGTGCATATTGGCATAGGGTATATGGCACATGGAAAATTCTTAGTGCAACATCCAACACATAATACATGCTCAAAGTTGATCCTTGAATAACACGGGTTTGACCTCTGCATGTCCAATTGCATGCAGGGTTTTTTTTTCCCAAATAAATATAGTTGGCCTGTACCCATGGGTTCTGCATCTACATCCTACAACTAGCATCATTACAGTATTCTCAGGATGCAAAACCCAAGTCTATAGAGGGCTGACTTTTTTATATCTACATGTTCTGCAGGACTTGAATATGTGTGGATTTTGATATACTCAGGGGTCCTGGAATCAATCTCCTGAGTATACTGAGGGATGACTGTACTGTTATAATATTAATTTGACCATGGCAAAAAGATCTTCCCTCTGGGATGTTGCACCTACCTAATGACACTGAGCTGTGTCTGCCCACCTCACTGCTCCCTAGAGGGGGACCGGAAGGCCTTTTATGAGAGCTCCCAGTGGAACATCAAGAAGAACCAGGAAACCATTAATCAGCTCCATGAGGAGAATAAGGCACTTGAATTACAGCTGACGGACCTGCTCAAGGTGAGGGTACAGAGACAGGTGAAGGGATTCCAGGGTACATGGGGCCAGCGCTTGGCCTCAGGTGGAGGTGGCCAGGGTGAGAAGTGACTGGAATCTTCTCCTTTACAGGGAGATGAGAAAGTGGTCCAGGCAGTGATTCAGGAATGGAAGTCAGAGAAGCCGTATCTGAAGAACAGGACAGGACAGGTTTGCTCCACTCTCACCCCACAAACCATCACCCTTCATTTCTAGCCTGTGTCCCCTCCCCACTGGACTCCCTACCTCCAGACCCACTTCCTCCAATCCTTTTTCCATGCAAGCCACCATCCATGTGCTCAATTACATCTTTACTACACACTTGCCTTGCACCTGGCATGATATTAGGTGTGGTGAAAAAACAGACCAAGTCTCTACTTCTAAAAAGCTCATATCCCCTGAGTACAGTGGCTCACACCTGTAATCCCACACCTTGGGAGGCAGAAACAGGACAATCACTTGAGGTCAGGAGTCCCAGATCAGTCAGGGAAATATAGTGAAAACCTGTCCACACAAAAAAAAATTTTTTAATTAGCCATATGTGGCACTGTGAGCTTTCTCAGGAGGGTGAGGTAGGAAGATTGCTTGAGCCCAGGAGTTCAAAGCTGCAGGGAGCTATGAGTGCACCACTGCACTCCACACAAAGTGAGAGTGGACTTGGCCCTTTAAAAAAAATGAAAAAGATAGTGTTGGCTACACTAGGATAAAAGCAATAGCAGTGGAATGAAAGAGATCTCCAGGGGAATCTGTGAAATAGAGCAGTGAATTTGTTAACAAATTGGATATAAGTAGTAGAGGGGGAAAAAAGGGTTGAAGATAAGATCAAGGTTGTGGACTCAAATCCTGAGAATGAGGAACCTGCTATGATCTGCAATGGGGAAGATGTAAGGAGGGAAGGTTTGGAGAAAAATCAGGTGCTTGATTTTGGAAGTGATGATTTTGAGGTACTTGTGGAGAGATCTGGAAAGCAGTGTTTGGATATATGAGCCTGTAGTTCAAAGGGGAGGTTAGATTTGGGTGTCTTCAGTGTATACCTAGCTTTTAAAACCCTGAAACTGAGGCCAGGCGTGGTGGCTCACACCTATAATCCTACCACTCTAGGAGGCCAAAGCAGGTAAATTGTTTGAGTTCAGGAGTTAGAGACCGGCCTGAGACTTCATCTCTAAAAATGGCCAGGCAAGGCAGCACCTGTGGCTCAAAGGAGTAAGGCGCCGGTCCCATATGTTGGAGGTGGCGTGTTCAAACCCGGCCCCAGCCAAAAACTGCGAAAAAAAAAAAAAGGTCAGGCATTGTGGCAGGCACCTGTCCCAGCTACTAGATTGGCTGAGGCCAAAGGATCACTTGAGCCCAAGAGTCTGAGGTTGCTGTGCGCTGACACCACTGCACTCTAGCAAGGACAACAAAGTGAGACAGTCTCCAAAAAAAAAAAAAAAAAAAAAAATCACCAGGACAGAGAGAAGAGTGGCTAGGGAGATGAGTGAAAAACTGGAGACTGGGCATCCTGAAAGTCACAATATGAGGGAAGGACTAGGTGGGGGTTCAGGCCCTGCCCCCTGGTCTCGCTTCCCTCCCTGCAGCAAGCCCTAGAGCACCTGGACTACCGGCTAAGTGAGAAGGTGAAGCAGCTCAATGCCCTGCGGCACCAGGTCGTGTTGCGGCAGAGCCGGCTGGAGGAGCTGCAACTCCAGTACCGCCTTCGCCACCTGGAGATGGCTGAGGCACAAGACAGCAATACGGAGGTAGCCAAGGTATGGCTGGTGAGGACTGTGAGGCAGGGTTCTGGGACAGGATTTGAGGGCAGAGGGAATTCAGCCCAGCTCTGCTGCCCTCTAGACCATGCGGAACTTGGAGAACCGTCTGGAGAAGGCCCGGATGAAGGCGGAAGAGGCAGAACACATTACCGGTGTGTACCTGCATCTCAAGGCCTATCTACAGGTAGGGACTAGGACTGCTTGGGAAAGGGAGGCAGGAAGGGCAGGCAGGCCTGGCCGCGGACAGTGGTCAGTCACAGGCCTGCCCCACCCTCACGCCCCAGGAGGAGAGCCTTAACTTGGAGAACCGGCTGGACTCCATGGAGGCTGAGGTGGTGCGTACCAAACACGAGCTGGAGGAACTGCACGTGGTGAACCAAGAGGCCCTCAATGCCCGGGACATTGCCAAGGTGCGGCCCCACCAGCTCCGGGTGTCCTGCCCCGCTTCCATGGTTCTGGAGCCCCTTCCATCTGTCTCCCAGGACCCTGCCACGAGCCGCGGTAGGTGCCAGCTGGTCCCATTCCCCCTGCTCTCCTGGCTCCTCTGCAGAACCAGCTGCAGTATCTGGAGGAGACTGTGTTACAAGAGCGCAGGAAGCGTGAGCGCTACGTAACTGAGTGCAAGAAGCGCGCGGAGGAGAAGAAACTGGAGAATGAGCGCATGGAGCGTAAGGTGAGGCGCCCAGAGGGCAAGCCGGGGAACCCAGCCTCGCCCACCCTGACCTGGCTTTCCCAGATCCTAGACCTTTTCCCAACTCTGGAGGGTTCTCTTAAGTCTCCTCCCTGCTCCCACTTGATGTAAGGACTCCTCCCATATCCTGGACCCACCTTCCCCTCCTTCCTTCTTGTTTGTCCCATTTTGGCTCCGTGGGAGCCTCTAGCCCTCCCCTTACTCACCAACTAGCCCCATCCTTCCTCACCTGAGTAGGACTCCAATCTTTTTTTTTTTTTAAGAGACAGAGTCTCACTTTGTTGCTCTTGGTAGAGTGCTTTGGCGTCACAGCTCACAGCAACCTCCAGCTCTTGGGCTTAGGCCATTCTCTTGCCTCAGCCTCCTAAGTAGCTGGGACTACAAGCGCCTGCCACAATGCTCGGCTGTTTTGTTGTTGTTGCAGTATGGCCAGGGCTGGGTTAGAACCCACCACCCTTGGTATATGGGGCGGC